GTGGATTAACTCTCCATCCCAGTGGTGTTTAATACAGTCCATGCAGTAGCTGTGTCCACAGGAAGTGGTCACCGGATCCTTCAGTAGATCCAGACAGATGGAACAAGAGAAGATTTCCCGGTCCAGCTGAACTCCTTTCTGCGCCATTTCACCTCTCAGTAGCAGCGAGTGTCTGAGTTTCACTTCCTGAGAGCTGAAACTATGTGAGCTGTGATCTGAACAGGATGTGTGTGTGAAGTGAATGTGGCCTATCAGCTCTTGTGCTTTACCCACATGTTGGTTACACCCATCCTCCTCAGTGTGGATCTGAAGGGGAGGAACCAGGAAGTACAGAGTGGAGCTGGCTGTGTCTGAGAGCAGGAAGGAGAGGGAGGGCTTATCAAACTCTGACTCACTCCAGGAGGAGGAGCAGACACTCTGACCTGTTTCCTCATTTACAAACGGAGCCTCGCTCACAACCTGCTCTACATTTGAAAACAGTCTTCAGCTGTAAAATATGTGTTTTAACTTCAGGCTTTTGTAGCACACAGCTCCACACTCATGGTGGCAGTGGTGTAAGAAGTACTCAGATATTCTACTAAAGTAAAAGTAGAAATACTACGGGGTAAAAATACTCTGTTACAAGTAAAAGTACAAAAGCATTGGTATCAAAATATACTTAAAGGACCAAAAGTAAAAGTACTCCTTATGCATTATGGCCCTTTTCTGAATCGTATATATATATTGAGTTACTGGGTTACTATAATGATTATTGATGTGTTTTATCACAGTTAGTAAATGTAGAGATCATTTGAATAACTTGATGTCCTGCTGCTGGATATCTTATCCTATAAATATCTGTCAAAGTGTATTTAATCATTGATTTATATTTTGAATGATCTACTAATCTATATCTAACTCGAATTGGCATCAAAAAAATAGTTAAAGTACCAAAAGTAAAAGTACTTACTGTGCGTAATGTCTCATTTTAGAACAATATAGATTGAATTACTGGATTATTTCATTTTTTATACATTCTTGTGTTTTTTTCCATCCCTAATAAAGTGTAGGGGAAATGGAGACAGTAACACACAACAACCAATAACATTGAGAGAGTCAGGGTGAAAGTGAACACAAGTTTATTTATTTACATCAAAGAAAATGCCAACAAATGTTCTTTAAAGGGGACCTATCATGCAAAATGCACTTTTGTACGTCTTTTCTACATGAATATGTGTCCCCGGTGTTCCAGGGAACTCACCAAGTGTCAGAAAACACAACCCTCTCTATTTTCCTCCATACCCAAATCTCTAAAAAAGGGGCTGCAACGGATCTGATAAAAACTGATCCAGATTTGAACACTGTCCTGACGTCAGGACAGTGGCGCTACGGCTATTGGGCCAACTCCACCAATCAGGAGGAGACAGCCACGGCATTGCCGTTCGAAAGCGCTGGAGACGCTGTAGTACATATGCCAGGCCTGTAGATGGTGCTGTTCTCACTGAATCAGCCCTTGCAAAAACAGAGCTAAAAAATGTCAAATTGAGCAAAATGAGGCATGGCTAAAATGCATGATCTGTTTGGTATTTTGAAAAAAAAAAAGTATAAATATGCCTTTTATAGGTATGGTCCTACACTATATTATTCAAATATAGCATGATAGGTCCACTTTAAGTGAGGAGACAAAGAAGATTGTGCCAAATTAAATACATGAATATAAAAAAATACAATGAAGCTACTGTGAAATTCGCTCCGTGTTCATGTCGGGTGACTTTTTGGACAAACCGGCTACCGTACCGGATGTTACGTTTCGTTCTTTCTTTTTTTATTTAATTGTATTATTATTTATCAAATCAATCTGAAAAGGGCACATCAAATTAGTGTTTATTAAATTAATTAAACCTCAGGGCATTATGAAATTATTAAACCAGATACAAAACTAATTTAAAAAAAAAACACAAGTGACTCAGGCATCCGGACCGGAAGTAGTACCCCGGGTCGGGAGCAAATGATTTTTGTTGTCCTTATTTTTAAATGTAGAAATATGTTAAAGATTTTATAATAGTGTGTGTTCTGTTTTATTCTCAAATGTTATGTATTTATTTATTCATTCATATTTTTCCACATTTATTTATTTATTTATACTTATGTCATGTTCCGTCCTCCATAGTATATATTTATTTATTATTTAGTATAGCACTTATTTGAAGCATGCTTTTTTTTTTTAACAGTCTAATAAATATAAAATCATTTCCAGTGTTATCAGTTGCAAGTGTGTATTTGTTGTAATAATGACGAAAACATAATTGGCAGATTTCACAGTAATTATAATAAAAACATAGCTCAAGCATTTATGCAACTTGATTTGAAGCGTGTGTGTGTGAGGGACAGCACCGTGTGTGTAGGGTGACCAGGTGTCCCGCTTTGTGCGGGAATGCACACACAGCATTTGTATTATTTGTCCCGCGTCCCACAAATTGAGACTATGTCCCGCATTTGAGTGACAGTTGCGCAGAAAGGCCGGATCGGTTCGCTGACTGCCGGCACCGCCCTTTATTATTATATTGTTTAAACGGCATCATGTTGGGCTGACAAGCGACACAGAGGTCCACAGTGTACCCCCCTGTTGACAGTTCACGAGCGCGTCCATAGTGTCCACCCAGTTAAAAAATCCCCACTACACCACTGCCCTTCATCAACTGTAACAATAATTTTTCGCAACATGCACCTGGTCTCCCCTCCCTCTGCCCCCCTCCCCCCATGGGAACTCAACCTTTCTCAAAGAATATGTACACTAACCATGGGCGTCGCAGCCATTATATGAGGGTGGGACAAGTCCCCCCCACTTTTTCAAATGATTAGTTTAGACCCCCCCACTTTTACTATGCGGAAAGTCCATGAATAGGTCTATCCACTCGCCGCACTTTGTAGAGCGCTGTGTCAGTGCTTCACTATCAAATGAAATCCATTCCACTTGCTTATTGAGAGAATGCCCAAATCAATGAAACTCCGTACCATGTTTTCACTGCTACTTTGTACCAAGGCAGATTCTCACATAGCGTGCGCATGTTCAAGGAGTGTTGTCATAGTTGGACAGCTCAGGGGCCTCATTTATAACGCCTTGCGTAGGATTGACGTAGGAAGGTTGCTTACGTAGTACAAAGCACAAAAATAGGTACATACATTTTCCGCCATTTTCCGATTCACAAAACATTGCGTACCGGCGAGGGAAGTGCGTACGGCACTCCCTACGCCTGTTTCCCTTTATAAATCACAATCGACTCGTAACGCCCATATTTGCCTATAAATACTCAAAGAAACGCCCATTCATTCATTCATTCATTTTGACTGACTGCATGAAGAAGATCGCAGGAAATGACGACCGAACAACTAAAAAAGACATCTCACACCGTGTCAGATTTAGGTTATTGTGGGGAGGTCGAGATAAATCATATTGTTTGGTGGATGCAGTTTGAACCAGAGTAGCAGCATGGAGGTCGGATCGTCACCTAAATAAATAAAGTGGTCCGAAAAAAGTTAATGACAAAAAAAAGACACATAACCTTCCTCAGGCAGTGTGTTTGTCCCGGGGACAGGAGACCCCCCCCCCCTTGATGAGAAACTGTAAGAAATGATCGGGGAATCCCTCCGGAGTGTAGTCATGACGACTGGATCTGAATTATTTTGTTGTATTTGGTGGTTTGTGTTCCAGCTGTCGATCAGCAACTATATATCCATAATCCACCAGTTAAAGGAAATACAATGTGTTGTGTTATATTAGCTGTACAATTTACCACATATGGTGTTCTTAGTTTCCATACCTCCTGTGTTTTACGAGCGACTTATCAAGTCTTGGCAAACGGCATAAAACACGATTAAACGTGATAGTATATAAAACCATGCTCGTATCTACAACCTATAGAAATGCAAAACGGCGTCAGTTTAGACGTAATTCTGTCCTCCTGCTTACCGCATCATTTATGAGAAAACATTTCATAACATTAACACAACATATTCGAGGTGGTTTTAAATAACATATCCGTATTTATTTATTTCTCCAAGTGTTTGTGTGCACTGAGGAGTCTCAAACAGCCGTTTGTTTAATCATTTTAAGATTGGCTTTAATCAATGTTTGAAAATGAATTCTTCATTTGATAAATGAGAGGTAACATTTGATTTATTTCCACATATTTCTCTCCATTCTTCTTTCTGCCAACGGTGTCGCAGTTTCTCGTCTCTCCCGTTTGTGTGCTTAGTGCGTACGCATGGGTTAGAGTTTGCGTGGAGGACCGCACATTTTCCCGTGAAGTTAGAATTTTATAAATCGCAAACATTGCGTAGAAACTGGCTTACGCCATTTTTTGAGCGTATATCCCTTTATAAATGAGGCCCCTGATCTGTTGTATGAAGCGATGCCGGTAGCGGAGGTAAGGCACACACACCAAATGTTCAGGAAATGGTTAATACAGCGAAAATCAAAGCTGACGATCTCTTGGTTTGATATGTTTTCTCCCCCAGACAACATGGACATAAGAACATTTTTTTCAAAGAAGAGGAAAGTAAGTCATCAGCTGGTAGCAGTTAATCAGTTAACAGTGATGGCGGCGTCTCACTTCTGGAGAGGAGTTTCGTCTTTATGTCATGATAGAGAGATACAAATACTGAATAGTTTAGATGAGAAAAGGCATCGAAATGCCAGGTTACTAGTATTTATCATGTAAACAGGGAACATGAATAACCCGATCTCTCTGTGCTCATGTAAACACCATATCCCCAATATGATCATAACCGGGATAATACTCATACACGGCTTACTGATGTCCATGTAGAGACGCAGTCAGTGTGTTTTACTGGAGCCTCAGTTCGATAAGAGATTCTTTTCTGAGTTCTTTAACTTAGGTACTCTCTCTCAAAATTGTAATGTGCATTATGTTTTAATTCTTATCATTCAGAAGCTTTTTGTGTGTGTTTATGTTTTACTGAGTGCTTATAGGCTATTTCCATCCCAGTATTCAGTTAACTATTTATTTTCTGTGCACATTACATAGACTAGCTAATATTCTACCTACTGCTTGGGACTTTGAGTCTTCAAAATGTCCAATGTCACAGACTGGGACTTACTTTAGAGTCAGTTGTATTTACATTCAGTATGACTTGTTATGATTCAACGTGAAAGAGTATACTGCTCAATAAATAATTATCACTTCACCACCTCTCTTGACATCTAGGCACTTGAGAGTGAGTCAGAGGCAGAATGCAGGGACAGTGGAGAGAGCATTGCTGAGGTGAGTGATGAAAGGGAAATGACAGTTGAGAGTAAATTGTGATGTGGACTCTCATCCCAGGATTTTAAGGAAATCAGTGGGGATCTTGAACAGGAAACATTTCAGTCAAGGGGCATCATATGACCAATATAGACAGAAGAGCAACATTTATTTGAACATTTAAGTCAATGATACCATTCCTAGGTGAACTTAACATCCGTATGGAGTCAGATCAGTCTCAATATTAATAAATGCTCACAGAAGGATTCACAAATGTATTTTGCGATTTATATATAAATGACTCTCCACAACAATATCTCTCAATGCACTCACAAATATTTATTGTTGTATATAAATGTACAAAAAATGGGCATTTAAACTGCTTTTTATTAATTCAAAGACAGCTCTGAATTAATAATCAAATATGTGTTACGCTTCCCGAGAAGTGACTGGAGATGAGAACCCGCTACGCAAACACTAGACGGAGACAGTGGTGAAGTGTCAAACAATAGTCTTTATTTGACCACGGCACAGGCAAGGTGTAAAGAGGAGCTCAGAGAAGACAGACGTGGAGCTGGATAGCTCAGGGGGAGACGGAGGTGCGGAGATGCACGGAGGGAGCACCGGCGTGGAGAGCCGGAGATCCAGAGCTGGCGAATGTAGACAGGATGAGCTGGTGTGCGTGGAAGCACGGAGGGAACTCAGACGAGGAGTCGGAGGCTGGACGTGGCAAGGAGAGCGGCAGGTGTGTGTAGATCTGGAACAGGAAAGATGCAGGGTTAGAAAGGAATAACCTTTCACTAGGAGTATCAAAAAGGTTTACTAGAATTACTGCTAGTAGGCCTGGACGATAGTTTACCACTGAAGAATAAACGAAGAACTGGCGAAGTCTGAGGATGGGAACCAGGGTTTTAAGCAGGTGCAGGTGAGTAGTGGCAATCAGTGAGATGAACAACAGCAGTGGAGGTGAGTTGGCGGGAATCAGAATGTAGGTCAGCCACGCCCAGCCAGGAAGACAGACAAACATAGAAGGGGAAAAGAAGGAGGAAGTACTGCAGATCCTCACAATATGTTTCCTTTCTTTACTACTGGATGAAATTACAAAATGTACCCATCATTTCCCTCATGCTAGTATAGCCACATAAAAGTATCAAACCACCTGTTAAAATGCACCAGAATACAGGAAATCTATTTTTTTTCCCGCCCCCACACCCCCCGTTAAAAATGTCCCCCCCACATTCAGGATGCTTCCTACGCCCATGCCTTCAGGTAATCTATTACAATATAATAAGCATATGTATTATTGATACATATTTATTAATGACTTTTTCCATTTCAGAATGCCAGCAGCAAAGAGAGGTCCTGGATTCAGTGTGCAGGATGTGATCCAAAAAGGAGAAAGTGATTTGAGATGGAATCAGAGGACACTGCTATGAGTGAAGAAGAGGCAGATGAAGATGCCTGTGGACAAAGAAAACCAACAACAATCCATCCCTCACATACTTATGTATATATAATAACTTGCTTTATATTTGGCTTTTGTTCATTTGTAAATTCAACATGTATATTTTCTACTTTCTTGTTTATTTCTAGTCTTTTTTCATTTGTATTGTATGCCATGTCTTTTATGCTGCTGCAACACAACAATGTCCCAAATTGAGATCAATAAAGTTCTATCTTATCTCTTATCTGAACCCAATGGCCGCCCAGTCAGTGATTATGTGGACATCGAGCCCCAACCAAATAAACACACCAAGCCCCGTGACAGGTATCGCTGGCTGAACAAAGATTTGATCAGTCCCAATACTGATTTTTTCTTTTGAGTAATAAATCAGAATTCTTACTTAAATCTCAGATCTATGAAAACAAATCCTGAAGGTTTTCATGAAAATAAATAAAATATATTTTAAGGAAAAGTCAGATTTCTGAGATTTTCTGTAAAAAGTAATAGAAAATCTGAAAAAAAGTTAAAAAAAATTATCAGATTTCTGACTTTCACTGAAAACCTTCAGGATTTGTTTTCATAGATCTGAGATTTAAGTAAGAATTCTGATTTATTACTCAAAAGAAAAAATCAGTATTGATAAGTTAGTGATTATTAAATGAATTACATCTCAGGGCATTATGAAATTATGAAACCAGATACAAAACTAATTAAAAAAAAAAACAGACATCAGACATCCGGACCGGAAGTAGTACCCCGGGAGCAAACTATTTTGTTTTGTTCCAGAAGAACCTAAGTCTACCAGCACATCTGGAGCCAGGACTTAAGGATAAGCATCGATTTCTTTCTAACTTTACCTTAGTTCTGTTTATAATTTCAGTTTTTTAAAGCACAATTACCACAGCCTCGTTAGTTCCATAAGATATGAGAGGGAATTGAACCACTGACCTTCAGGTTGATAGACATGATTTAAATGATTATGTGATAATTTAACACGACACAGAACAACTCATGAGAAGATGTTAAAGCACCTCCCATAATGTTTATTGACAGCTGATCTCTGTGCAGTGAAGACATGAGCAATCAGCTCTCAGCAACAATGATGGACACACGGTGAGTTTAAGAAGTAGAAGAGTTCCTCAAATGACTTCAGGCTATTTCAGTTTACAAAACTCAGCTGTGGCTCCATAATCAAGATAAAGTCCAGCATGTAGCGGCTGAGTGAATGTGGTCTGCACTCTGTGGAGGAGAGTCATGGTTTCAGAGACGATGCTGTAGAAGGACAGAACACCTGCTCTGTGACATCTGAATTCAGCTGATTTTTCTTAATCCTACAAATAAATAAAATATATATAAAAACATGAAAATCTGTTACTTCCTGTCTTGTGTAGTTTGACCTTTGACCTTTGACAGCTCACCTGTTGGAAATGTGTTGGGAGTTGTGGAGATTTGAGGATCTGAGCAGGGTTTGCTCACTTTGAGTGTGTTTGAGTGTAAATGATGGCGCAGTGTGCGACATGTCATCACGTGAGTGTGTTGGCAAGTGACAAAACAGTAATTGTTGAAAAAGAGGACTTTTTTGAAGAATATCAAAAATGTCACGCACACGCCAGCGTGCCGCATATCAAAAGGGACCATTTGCTGTGAATGTGAAAGGCGTCAGTGGTTTAATTGATGAGATATGGACGTTTTCCCACTGTTGCCGGGCAGATCAGAGGTGAAAAAAAACGTTTGGCAGGTTTGGCCTAAACAAAAAAAAGTTGTCGGGAGAGACTTGTTTTCTCGGTCCATTTCGAGTCGCCTTGTAGACCCACGTAGGTTTCTCTGTGTCTTTTTTTGTTCTACTAACCAAGTCAGCATTTAGGATTTGGCATTGAGCACATGTTTATTGAACAGGAAGTCTCACCTGTGTGCTGTCGTGTGTCTCCAGGCCACCAGGGGGCGGAGGAGGACATTGAACTGGATAACCTGGGTGGAGCTCAGGGAGCAGAGTAGCACCTCCAAAGACCTACACACACACACACACACACACACACACACACACACACACACACACACACACACACACACACACACACACACACACACACACACACTTTTCTTTTTTTTTTACTTTTCTTTTTTTCCGTTTTGTTGCATTATTCAAACTTTCATTTATGCATTCAACACATTTAGACTTAGTTACAAATTAAAAACCTTTAGAATCAAATATCTCCAATGAAAGAAGCTCTGGTGCTTTCTCTCTAAAGACTCACTTTACAAGAGAAACAACAACACACAAATACATCAATATCCATATTCAACACGTTTTTAGAGCAAAGTTTACATTTTGTTATATTTAATAAAGTAATAAATAAAGTAAATAAACAGTGAAATCCATCTCAAATGCAGGAACAGAGCCACTTCACCGTCAGAGGAGAGAGAAGCTCTGCACCCAGAACACAGCTCACATCCACACTATATATATATTCATGAAAAGAAACTGGTCCTACACCCCCCCATCATTAAACCATCAAACCCCCCCCTCGTCATTAACCATTTGCAAATCCACCTTTGACTTCCTTTGCCCTCCTGACGTGTAAATCATGACCACACGTCTCTGTTAAACACATACAAGACTACAAATACAATTGAACAGAGTAAAAGGCAATCCGAGTATAAGACTATATGTTTTAAATGATTATATGATCATTTAACACGACACAGAACAACTTGTGAGAAGATGTTAAAGCACCTCCCATCATGTTTGATTGACAGCTGATCTCTGTGCAGTGAAGACATGAGCAATCAGCTCTCAGCAACAATGATGGACACACGGTGAGTTTAAGAAGTAGAAGAGTTCCTCAAATGACTTCAGGCTATTTCAGTTTACAAAACTCAGCTGTGACTCCATGATTATAAACCCAAAGTCCAGCATGTAGCGGCTGAGTGAATGTGGTCTGCACTCTGTGGAGGAGAGTCATGGTTTCAGAGACGATGCTGTAGAAGGACAGAACACCTGCTCTGTGACCCAGGTACACTCCTACTCTGGAGGACAGAGGACCTGAGACGGGAGTGCTGATACTGTTGTAACCATATCCCAACGTGCATTGCGGCTAAAACATCCAATCAGCGAGCTGAGGATCTTTCCTATACGTCTGTTTCCGGTATTGTTCCTGTAATGAGAGTTCACATTTATGCTACATTGAAGGGTGGAATTGACTACACATCTTCAGAAACATAATTTGCTTCAGATATACTGTAACACATAGCAATATTGTAACCATTAAGAAAAGCCAACTGCATTAAAAACCCAGTTAACAAACACTAGGTAAAGTATTTTTCCTTCAGTAATGAAGATGTAATTCCAATGTAGACACACCTGGGGTCGCTGTTCAGTCTGTTACGCTGAGCCATGCATTGTCTGGAACGTAAAAGGGACGAAAAGACAAAGTGAAGTGACGTACTTCAGGTTCAATGTGAAAACATTTCCAGTTAAACCATAGATATATATAAAAACATATGTTTATATATATGTATGAGTTAAACAACAGAAACAAATCGCTTAATAAAAGATAAAACACTGGCATGTAATTTACGTTAGAATAAATAGAATGGTTTTGAATAATAGATGAGAGTAAAATCTACGTCACAGCCCCACCCACTTTTGGGGAAACCAACGCTGTCATTTGAACGGCGATTAAGCCTGAAGCCACAGAGCTCTTCTGCTGTCCTTATACCCCTTTCACACCAACGGTGTTTCAGGGCCGGTTCGGTGCTGGTGCTTGAAAAGCACCGGGTTTTCCTGTTCACACCGCAGCGGAGCAGCGTCATAGCTCCGGAATCCGGTTCGTTTCGAGCACCAAAAAGTTGTCCGTCTAGAAGCAAGAACCGCATACGTCACGCTTACGTCGGAGGGGGGCGAGATTAACCTGAGCTAACACTTAAGGCGAGTACGGCAAATAAAAGTTGTAACAAGCAGTAGTGCTGAGCAAAGTGACTAGAACGCAACCACACACTTGTTAAAAAAAACACACTTTATAAAGTCAGGCAACACTAACCAGGCTTCGTGTGATTCTGTTTATTTGTACCTTACTTTGACCATCCGTTCGCTGTTATTGATCATTGTGGAGAGCAGGCAGACGTTTTGTTTGTTATTATAGCAGCTATCGGATGGAATCAATACATGGGCTGCACAGGTTGTCATGTCCGACTATCACAAGTAGAATCATAATGAAAAATACGTCGGTAAAAAGTGCCTGTAGAAAACTGCTTAGCAAGTAGTCAGTTTAGCTTCGGTTGCTATGCTAACATCACCCATGTTATACCAGAGAAACTTTCATAACAGCGTTGTGATGCCAAACAGCGTCAATTCAGACTGACACCAAATAGCGTCAATTCAGACTGACACACATTCACTTAAGGGGAACTGGGGATATGTATCAGCTGCTTGTGTGACAGTCAGACAGTGAATACTTTAGAGCCGTGTGAGCTAACCCGGAGCTAACGTGAGAATACAATCCCGTTGAAGAGCAGCCGGCCAGCACTGCAGCGGTCGGTAAATGCCGCTGAAACACATTAATAAACAATGAACCACGGCACTCTGGAGAAAAGTATAAGGTTGGAGAAGTCGTTATTTAATTTAATCTGGCTTCGTATGATTAAAAGCAACGCAGTCCCCGGCCCGTTGTTGTTGTGAGGTGAGCTCCGGCGTTGGGGAGAAACTCAGCGACGTAAACTGTGACGTCATGACGCAGCAGCGGCAGCACCAGTCGGGCTCTGAGCGGTGTGAAAAGAGCCGGCGCTAAACCGAAGAACCGGTTCTGAACCAGAAAAGCTCTAGCACGGAGCTTGAACCGGAGTTGCGTTGGTGTGAAAGGGGCATTAGAGGAAGTTTGAGGTGTTTGAGGTGCAATAAAAGACACAGCAGCTTTTTGGCATGTTAAAACTATGCCTCGCAGCTGGCGAAATTACAGCCTCGCCTACTGATTTTAATTTAACCATAGGATATCAAGCCCGATCGTCGATTTCAAATGTGTGCTCTAAAATGATATTTATAAATGACTATTATCAATATTATAAGCAAGACAATAAATGGCAAAGATATGTAGAAAATAAACGTATTTGAGATAAGTTCATAACAAACGTAACGTGGGAGAAAATATGTTTCTAGAAGATATGTAGAAAATAAACGTATTTGAGATAAGTTCATAACAAACGTAACGTGGGAGAAAATATGTTTCTAGCTAAACGTAATTGAGAATGCAGTTTAGTTCTGTGGGAACGTAATTTTTAGGAGACAGGGTTGAGTAAGGAGTACCCACTGGGAGAAAGAGAGTTAAGATGTTCAGAAAATCAATTGATCATTGCTGTGAGACGATCACAGAAAACACACAGATTTAATGCTGTTTTTTAAATGTATTCTGTGTATCGAATCCATGTATATGAATATGCATGTTCTGTATTTACATGTTCTGTCTGTTCCTTACCTAAGGTAGGGGGGGGGGATAATCATCAAGTTCAAAATTTCAACACACCAATTTGGGACTTGATTAACACTATCAATACAAGAACTTTGACACCAAAAGTAACTCTGTATCTTGAAAATAACCCCCCACCCCTTGAAAATGAAAAAAAGAACCCAAAAAGTGGCATTTTCTGCACATTCCGCCTGGTATGCATAAGCTATTCTTACTGTTTGCCTATATACTGTTGAATGAATGCTTTCAAACCCATTTGAGAATTAATAAACATTATT